TGAAGCGAGGAGCACAGCGAGCAGCAAGGGGAAAAGTAGTGGGGGATATTTTCATCTTGCATCCTTAGCGCAAATCGGACGATCGAGAGAGAAAGCATTGCAAGACGTGATGTCAAGTTAGTGGTGTCCCTATAGCTGTCTTCCTCATGCGACCGTCTAATGAAGGAAGTGCGAGCGAGACAGTTAGAGCAGCTCGGTGTCCCTATCGATGTCTCGTTCGCTCTAACACCTATGTGTCGTGCTTTTCTTTCTTTCCTTTAAAAAACGTAGCTGAGACGCGTGCACCGACCGCCAGCATTCATTCTATTAATTATTATATCATATAAAGAGGCTTAATTTAATGAAGAATAGAAATTTGTATTGAAATGTTTAATTATACGAATATAAGAATTGTTTGCTTCCGTATCAAAAATACACGCTCGTCCTGATTAATTATCCATTCATTTATGATTGCGTAATTAGTAACTTCTTTATTATAAGCAAAATTAGTAATAATGGAACAGGATAAGTCGCTAGAACATACTGTCTCCAATAAATGTTCAAATATAAGATTTATTCGAAAATATATATATCATAGAAAAATTGTTTGGTTGCGCGAGAGATATTCTAGACATCCAGGCAGCACAGTTTGTTTCAAGTGGAGGTCTCTTTCCGAGATATGATCACTTCTACTTTTTGAAAGCCGAACCATGGTTTTTTTTAAGTTAATTCCTTTCATCGTTCTGCGTAGAAAAATAATTAAGTTAGAAGTAAATTCTTTACGAGGTATTTTGCATCTTACCCTAATATTTTGAGTCTTAAATACGAAATATTTGGTAGTCATTTCTCGATGATTTTATTTTTATGCTTTCATACGTAGTATAATGAATAGAATACGCTGATGATAATAATTTTCAGATACATCAACTGTTCAGATATATCAACTGGCGTGCTAATTTCGCGAATATATCATGACCTTTTTTTATTCTAAACTACATTAATTAGCTAAAAATTACGACTTTTGACAATACGTCCCGATTGTTCTACGCAAGCGCTTCATTCTGAAAGTCATTTTTGTGCAGAGTTTCGCAAATTAACTATTTCTAATATCGTAAACAATTTTTAATATCGGTCGCCAATGAAGTAGTACACACACACACACACACGCACGCACGCACGCACGCACGCACGCACGCACGCACGCACGCACGCACGCACGCACGCACGCACGCACGCACGCACGCACGCACGCTACGCACGCACGCACGCACGCACGCACGCACGCACGCACGCACGCACGCACGCACGCACGCACGCACGCACGCACGCACGCACGCAC